AATTTATGGGAAATATTTAAGCTTTTTGTTAAGTATATCATATTTTTGTAAACATTTTTAGGCAATACCGGAGCTGCGCGAAGCACTAAGCAAATACTCGGGATCTCTACCAGATGTGACAAGTGCTGTGGCCAGTGGAGACGGTGGCTCAAAAGCAGTTACAGTCGCTGTTCGTGATCTGTATCGCATGATGGATGACGAGAGGGCAAAGAACCATGGCAGTGTTGTTCCGCTTGTTATGATCCAGGTTTTCAGTTTTCCTTGTACCTTTTTAAATATGTAGATGGTATTCGCAGCTTGTAATGAGCGGCGCCGCTTTTCAAAAATGGTGGTAGACCTGGTGGGAATCGAACTACTGCTCTTCACATCCGGATGCAAAGTGTTACCCACTACACCACCGGTTCTTGTGGCAGCACATCTACTGTGTATCTGCTTTTCAAACCGGAATACACATTCTTTTCCTACTGCCTCCCATGGACGATATTAGTCCTTTTCGTTTTGGCGGATTTTCGTAAGTTTCCCATGACATGCCGTTTTTGAGAAAGCAACATGTACTATCATTTCTGTTTGTGCCGTCTTTCATTTCCGCTTCCACAAACTCTCATTTTCTGACAAGTAGAAGACTTATTTTCATGAGGTAGGGCGTATGCTATAATAATTGTAAAGGGTATTTTTTCAAGCAGTGCGCCATATCGTTAGGCAATTGCTGAAAATTTTATCAGCATCATAATTTTGCCAGTGAAATTTGCCAGTTTTTACCGTACAGTAATCTGCTTTATTCATTTCGATTAAGTCAAACGTTCTTTTGTATTCATCCCCTGCAGTTGTACAATTCGCGAAATTTCGTGGAACTTATAATTCCAGAAATTTTTTCACCCTTAATGATAATTCAGTTGTTTCGTTATTTGGGACGAAATGATTTTTTTTTTCGTTTTTTTTTTTTTTTGCTCGAAATCATTTTGATTTGAACTAATTTCTTATTTATTAATCTTCCCTTTTACTTTCTGAATTTTTTTTTGTTTTTAGGTGTTGCATAATGTTTTCCCGCAATTTGCAACACGTGGTGAGCACGGTTGGATGCAGCAGGATGCAAATGAATGTTGGGCCGAAGTGTTGCGCGCACTCAGAACGCAACTGAAGGGAACAGGTGAGGAAATTTTTGCGAGAAATCGTTTGAATGTAATAGTTCAGAAATTTTTGCTTATCAAATAGTTTAGAAATATCACAATAAGAGCAAAAAAATGTTTAGATGAAGCAAAAATTTCCGGATTTAATGACTTTTTTATGAAAATATTATTTGTGGAAAGATGTGTAATATTGCAGAGACAGAAGATCACACGGCATCCATTATTTCGAGATTTATGGAAGGTAAGTTTAAAATTGAGATGAAAAATCTTGAATCGGATGCCGAACCAAGCACGGTGACCACTGAAAGTTTCTCACAGGTAATTTTTGATCTTTTCTTTTTTCGTTCTGTATTTAACAGACATTTTCCAGTAATGCAGCTAATTGCAGTGAACAGACCACATATTTAATTTTTTGAAAAATAAAGAAAATTTTTTGTAAAAATAATTTTTTAAAAAAATTTAAAAATTATAATTCTTTTCCATTTTCTCTTTTTTGTCTTTTCCATTTTTTTCTCTATTCTTTCGTTCTTTGCATTACTTTCCCTTTCAAATATTCTGTTGCATTTAAGCAGTCTCTGTACGATTCGTACATTCCTTTCGATGATAAGTTGAAATTAGCATGTGTTAGAGAGTTAAACCCGCCATCAGTTTGCTTCTAGGCAACCCTGTAAGGGGGTAACTACCGACAGTTTTGCCAGCGAGTGGTTGAATTGGCATTTGCTATCTCTCTCTCTCTGCTTCACGAGTGCCTCTGTATCTCCATAGACATCGAATACTGAGGGGGTTTTGACTTTGATTTATCTGGTTTCTGTATCATATAAATTTTATGCGCACTCCTTCTACCGTGGCATCTTTTCGTCTGATGTCCAAGTATTTATTAGCTGGAATGTGGATGGCCACCCGCTAAAGCGCAACAACCCTACTATCTTTTCCATCATAATTTATTAAACTGACCCATCCTAGGTTAAAATTTTCATACTGTGGCTGTTCCACATTTTTCATGCTTCGAACCGCCCGATTGTTTTAGAAATTACGGCTCAGTCCACTAGGATTATTTTAGCAACCTTGTCCCACCCTTCGTTTTAACTTTCTGTCTCCGGCCCTCCAATATTCTAATTTTTTTTTTTCTTGGACCGGCCGCATTTTTATCATTTTTTTGGTTACAAAAGCAAGAAACACATGTTTGTTTATTACTTTTTTTGTGGGCAGTATCTAAAATTTGTTC